AGATGTTGAAAATGTCTGTGAAGACATCGGTGAGTTCCACTGCAGTCTCTCAGTACACACCCGGAGCTTTGTGTGCGTTGATCCTGCTGAGGGATCTCCTCACGCTGTCCGGGGACAGCGTCATCACCTGGTCGCCGGGAGGAGGTGGAGTCTTCTGTGCAGTGGTGCTGTTTTGTGCCTCAAAGCGAGCGAAGAAGATGTTCAGTTCATTCAGCAGAGAGATGGTGCTGTCACAGGTGCGTGGTGGGGGCTTGTAGTCCGTAATGGTCTGTATCCCCTGCCACAGGCTCCGAGTGTCTCTGCTGTCACTGAAATGATGGGCTATCCTCCTGGAGTACTGTCTCTTAGCCTCTCTGATGCCGCGGGATAGGTTGGCCCTAGCTGTCTTCAGGCCCACCTCATCTCCAGCTCTGAAGGCAGCGTTCCGCGTCTTCAGGAGTCCGTAGACCTCCCCTGTTAGCCACGGCTTCTGGTTGGCCCGGACAGTGATGGTCTTTGTGACTGTTACATCATCAATGCACTTGGTGATGTAGGCAGTGACAGTCTCTGAGTACTCCTGGAGGTCTGTGGTGTTATTGTATGTGGCAGCCTGCTTAAACATATTCCAGTCAGTGGTGTTAAAACAGTCTTGAAGAGCCTCTGACGACCCTTCCGGCCACACTTGTATCTGTCATTCAGACATTGATTTGACATTCAGACATTTTATGTCTGACGTTACTTTCTACATCATGATGTGGAGATAAATTATTTCCATTGCCTCAATTTTACACAAATTGTCTTTTTTTAATTATTAGTTTTGGTTACACTTTACTTGAAGGGGTGTGCATAAGACTGACATGACACCTTCATAATCATGACATGACACATGTCATGAATATGAAGGTTTTTGTATGCATGTTTATGACAACTGTCATTCGCTCAGTTATGTAATTTTTAATGCAAAGATGACATTGTTTGAGATGTCTTTGTTATGGGCTATGGTTAGGGGTAGGGTTAGGTAAAATAATGTCATATTTGCATAAAAAATTACATAACTGAGCGAATGACACAATGACAGTTGTCATAAACATGCATAAAACCTCCTTCATATTCATCTGATTATGAAGGCGTCATGTCAGTCTTATGCACACCCCTTCAAGTAAAGTGTTACCTTAGTTTTTTTGCAATATAATTTGATCTTGATATTAGTAAAGTGTTATCTAGTGGAAAATGAATGCAAGATCTGTAGTACTGATATTTACTCAATGTACTTATTCGATGCAATAGGCTAACATCATTTTTGAAAGTGAATTGTTTCTATGTTTTCCCCAGAGAGTGGAGACGAGCGGTCGGACACATGGTCTGTGGGAAGCTCTGCATACGGTTCATTCAGCTCACTATCAGGAGAAGACGGCAGTTCAGTTTTTAGCTCATCACACTCAAAAGTCTCATCTCACAGCTCAGCATTGGGGTCTTTGCTGCCCATTTCTCACTCTGTTACACATTCAAGAACCAAAAGAACACAGGATGTGCCCAATGTCTCAAAATATGAGCATAAAGATTTAGACACTGACGTGAAGTGATGGCTGAATAATCCTAGAATTTTGACATCATGTTGAACTGTAACATATACAAAGCAGCTTAAAGTAATAATCAAATGATTCTATAAATAATTGTTCTTTATTTTAAAAACAACAATAGGTCATTTTTGGTGTTATAATACATTTTCTACAGATTGATCTACAATATCACAATTTCTCTGTAGTTTGTCTACATAATCAGTGTTTCCCAGTACTTGTCACATTTTTCCAAATTAAGGCTTTAAATAAATTTTCATGCAGTTTATCAGGATCAACCTGTAATCCCTGCCAAAAATATTAACTATTTATCCTCGTCTAGAACAGATTTTATTGTCATCCCTAGGTTTAATGGATTAATGATCAAACTCCAATTATTTGTTTAAATTACAACAGCCAATGTTGTTGTATTTTCGGACAGGCCTGCAAAATAGGGAAATAGCCATTAAAGTGCCTGTCTGCAGTGCTCGTATACTTATAATCTCCAATCCAGCCTTTTGTCGTCTTTTATTTTGTATGTTACAATCATTTTTCTCCTTTT